TGCGGGAACTTCACCAGACTGCCAGGACTAAGCACATTTCAAGCACATTTAGTTTTGCCTGACTTCTCTGTTTTGATGCAGAAGTTCCATTTTCATTATAAAGTGACAATAAGTTTGAAACTGCTGCTTTTCTAATCCAAGTCAAAAGTTTGCCTCTTTGAACTAGGAATGGTGGTCAAAATAGTTTAAAGCCTTGGGAATATGAGTGGAGCTCCCAGCTACTCTGGCCAAGTGCTGGATAATTCAGTGTGTGACAGGAAGGAGAAATTTCCTTCCTTTAAAAAAAAATACATCTTTTGCAATAGTTGTGGTCATGAAATTAAAGAATTTAGTCTTAAGGGTTATTTTGCAGCTATCTGAGGATGTGCCTTTCAGACTGCAATCAATACGAGCAAACTAAATATGCATATATAAAAGAGACCAGGCTCTCCACCGGATATGTGGTGATATGTATAACTTATGACTATACTGCATTGTACTGTTGCCCAACAAGGTCCTTCTTACATGGCAAACTATCAGAACTAGCAGAAGACAGGCAAAGGCTAAGTATTTCCTTTTTATTAATATAAGAATCCAAACTAATACATGAGAATGTATTAGGTGGCTCAAATATTTTATGTTGAAGTTGTTAACTTAAGAAAAACAGCACCAGGGAATAATGATGTAATCTGCCGGTGCTACAGACAAAAATTTGAAATCATTGACAGCTTGAAATATGGTAGGTACATATAAAGCACGCTACTTTCTGCAAGGCAACCAGAACTATAAGATGTATTTTTATAAGTAATCACTTTTTTTTTTTTTTTTTTTCCCCCAAAATGCATAAATCATATTCAGTTTGCTCTGAAGGCTGTAAAATTTCTAAACACATCTCCAGAAAAACCTCTGGAGACCTAATTATTCCAGGATACCACAAAAAAGAGTTATTATTTATTTGAACTGCTAAAACTGCTAGCTGCAATATTATGACTTCTCTGTCAGTGTTACTCTGCTTCAGAAAAGAGTTTCTGTTGTCAATAGCAAACATAGCTACGTTTTTACTTTCTCCAGACCCGAGTTCAATTATTTAATATGCTCTAGGCTGAAGGAAAACCAGATACATGCAAAATAGCAATACAAAAAATTTTTGCTTAGTAAAAAAAAAAAGTAGGTTCTAGTTTAGAATTTAGACCAAGTAGGGAAATTATTCACAACTAAATGTTGTGATTCTACTATCTTTAGTGCAATTACTCTTTGTTTCATCATTTTGAAGTCAGAAGCCTTCAATTCTAGGTGGAAATCAGTTGAAGGGATTGCAGAATAATAGATCCTAACCTTTAATCTATAGCAGCAGAGAACAGTCCGATAGTAGTTGTGTCCTCAGCTCTCACTGCTCCTTTCACAGTGGCCTTTGAAGATAAGTCTTGTCATAGCTGGATTTCTTTCTGTTCCTACATGATTCCACTGGTAACCTGAGGACTGCTTGGGTTTATTAAATAAAGTAAGAAGAATCTAGATATTTCCTTTGTTTAAAATGACTCAAAATCTTAATTCTATGTGGCTGAGAAAAACTTGGAAAACTTTTCCTCTGTTGTTACCTTTTTAAATTTTACACATCTTTTATACTTCCATAGCTCTGCCCAAAACTGGCTTGATCATCATGATGAAATCTCTTTGTGTCCTTTGATATTTTTTGTACATTCATTCTCTGCCATGACCTGCAATGGTCCCTGGCACAATAAATATGGCTGTTCTTTTTAAGGGGTGGATAGGTGTTTGCTGGGGACTGACGTATGGAATTAATGATGTAGATTATTTTTTCATAGACCAAAAAGCAGTGACCAGCTGCGTGACTTTGCTAATCCAAATCTGGAATGAAATTATGGTTCTGTATCCTTTAAATCATGGTCCATCCTGTTCAGTCTCCTTCTCTTTGAAAGACTTTTAGATGCAGGCAATTTTAAAACAATCTGTTATTCATTCCCTTCCACATGATTTTTGTGGTGGGTTCGCCCTCAGGCCTCAGCTTCAGTGAACTAGTTCTTGTCCTCAGGAAATGTAGAGACACATAGATGTCAGAAATGAAGAAAAAGTAATTCTGAAGAAAACAGCCATATAAAGTGTCACACATCACTGGTGAAATGGTTCCCAAATACTCACAAATGGATATTTCATGCTATTTGTGGCCTGAAAGATAGTTAGACACCTAACAGGATATTGGGAAGGGCCAGAATATGTAATACCTATACAAATAATAATAGTTTGTTCTGTAACAATCCCTAACTCTCCACATCTATTCATAGCTACCATTCCAAGTGCTTCACTCTCTGCGCTCTCTCTCTGGGTTTTTTGTTTGTTTGGTTTTGTTTGTATTTTTGTTTGGTTTTGTTTTTTTCTGAAATAGTTAGCTTTCTGATGCACACTGACCTACACCAAAATGTCTCCATAAAAATGGCATTTTGAAGAAACAATGACTAGGAGCCTAGAATGGTTTGGTTTGGAAGGGATCCTTAAAGGTCATCTAGTCCAACCTCCCTGTAGTGAGCAACAGGAACATCTGCAACTAGATCAGGTTTCTCAGAGCCCCATCCAGCCTGGCCTTGAATGTTTCCAGAGATGGGGCATCTACCACCTCTCTGGGCAACATATGCCAATATTTCACCACCCTCATTGTAAAAAATTTCTTCCTTACATCTAGTCTAATTCTAGCTTTTTTTAGTTTAAAACCATTACTCCTTTTCGTATTGCAACAGGCCCTGTTAAAAAAGTTTGTCCTCATCTTTCTTATAAGCCACCTTGAAGTACTGAAAGGTTGCAACCTCAGCCCAGAGTTCATGCAATGCTTGAGGCAGTCTAGGACATGCTGCTAGTCACCTGCTGTTACATCTGCTGATTACAAGTGAGATTTCTTTTCAATATTAATGCTTAAAGAAAGAGTCAAGACCAGAAAAGTAAAACACAAGTAACATTTCAAAAGTTCTTAAGTAACTTTCATAAAGTGCTTAAAAGAAATAAAACAACTGAATGTAGCATTTTGGCTTTCAGTCTACTAACAATCTAGGTCAAACCAGAGCCAAACTCTTTATATTTAAATCATCCAAAAATTCCCCAGGGCTGTTAATGATAACACCAGCTTTTGTAATTGGAGACTACAATAAACACAATATCCACTGAATTGTTTTGTTCAAATCAACATTTTATAGAATGATAGAATGGTTTAGGTTCAAGGGACCTGAAAGATCATCCAGTTCCAACCCCCCTGTCATCAGCAGGGACACCTTCCACTAGACCAAGTTGCTCAAAGCCTCATCCAACCTGGCCTTGAACACTTCCAGGGAGGAGGCATCCACAACCTCTCTGGGTAACCTGTTCCAGTGTCTGACCACCCTTACAGTGAAGAATTTCTTCCTCAGATCTCATCTCAATCTCTTCTCTTCCAGTTTAAAGCCATTAAGTGACAGCCCTTGTTCTATCACTACCTGCCCTTGTAAACGTCCCTCCCCAGACTTTCCGTAGTTCAGCTCATATGCCAGCTCTTCAAATCTTGCATGCGCTGAAATTATCTGAGAAAGTTCAAGTTGGTATACAGCGCCACTGTACCTTGGGCATTTATACTCTGAAAGTCCCAGTGCCCTTTCTAATTTTTATCTCTATTTTCTTATAGGCACCCAGGAAATCTGTACCAAGGCAAGGAGCTGAACCTCAGAGCAGCTCATTCAGCACTTTGACCATTGATCTTTCCTTCTTCCCGAGGTATGTGACTTTTTTTGAACAGGCTTTTGGGAATGAGAGCTCATAGCAGCAAGCATCGTACAAGCACTACAATAGACTGACTTTTTTTCTGGAATCTAACACAATAAAGTTATTGTCTCAAATCTACATTTCTCAGGCAAAGTGGTTATATAAATTTTTAGAGATAATATTCACTGCTAAGAATTATGAAAAAAATATCCTCATATCATTCATAAGAAGTAGCTTTTGTGCCTTGCCAAAGGTCACCTTCCTCCCCAGGCTATTACGCAGTAAGTTGTTGACCAGCTTCAAACTTTACTGCTGGCCTATCATGTTAGAGCAGCTGCATTTCAGAACATCACACATAATTTGCTTTGCAAAAAAAGCCTACAAGAAATAGAAATTTAGAAATTTAGAAATTCACCTTTAATTAATTCCACCAAGAAAGGAGCTTTGCAAGGTACCCATTTCAATTGAGTGAAATATTTTAGTAACCAATTTCTCTGTACTTGGAGAAACATTTAAAAAGAAATGTAAACATTACCTTGGCTGATGTTTCAAACCAGCCCACGAACCCATTCTCTTTGCAGAACTGATCCATCTTGATGCCGTTGTTCATAAGAACATCTATTCCCTGGTCACATTTGTTTGCTAAGAGGACTGTTGGCACAGGTTTGCCATTTGGAAGAACCAACTTAGAGTCCAAATCCTCTTTCCATTTTGTCACTGCTTCAAACGTTGCAGGTCTTGTAACGTCAAAGACAATAAATGCCCCCATGGCCTCTCTGTAGTATACTCTGGTCATGTTTCCAAATCTTTCCTGACCTGTGATGAAGAAAGCAGGAGGGGGGGCGGGAAACAAAACAAAGCACCACCTTGTAAAAATCACTGCTTCCAATCTAGGTCAATATTTCACATAGCAAGTTTTCTAAGAGAACATTACTGAAAGTAGGACTTCATTTTGCAAGTCTCTGGAAAGCTACTCATTGCCTAAATAATGCCAAGTACCATGCTAGACTCATTTGTATGAAAATGCAGGAGTATAGCATGAAAAAGGAGTTTTAAAGCAAACATCCAAGGAAATTTAATAACTTGATAACAAGCTTGAACTTCAGTGTACAGTCTTATTAAGCTGCCAGATTTCTAGATCTGTGCACAGTACCAAAAGCCTTGGTGTACATTATAGGACTTTAAACAGGAGTCATAAAAAATGTAGGTACCAGATTGGAAGCTCTTTGATACTAAGGTATTTTGTGGGAAATATCAAACACAATTGATCTGCTCGTGCATGAAGAGGATCCTGCATATGCTTATGCAAGTGATAATCATTGACAGTAACATAATTAAGCTCTGGAGCCATATCAGGCATTGGATTCATTATGAATTTACTGTTACTGGCAAACTAAAACACAAAGGTGAGAAAGGTGAATCTAAAGCCTTAGATTCACATGGAAAGTGATCTAAGAAGTACCACAGCAGCAGCAATATGAAGAGCTGTACTGCTTCAGTGAAAAGAACTGGGAGGAGACGTTTCACACTAGATCTGTTCAGAAGCTTTGTGGTTTTATTTGTTGAATTCAAAGTGTTTTCTGGGAAGTTATTTAAAGTGTTTTTGTGAGCTATAAATATATCATTATATTCAAACATTGACATTTGTAAACATCTATGATTTTGTATGATTAACAGTGTAAAAATTAACATACTTGAAGTCAGGATGTGGTATATCGATCAGCTGTGTGCTTGTTAATATATAGGCTGGTTTCATGAGAACTTTAAAAAAAATGTTTCCAAGAATGGAAATAAATTACACAGAATTTTTCTTGAAGTGAAAAAAAAAATAGAATTTCCTTTGATGTCTACTGCTGAGCTGTGATCCAAAAAAGAATTATAAATTCCTGAAACACCTCCCAACAACAGCAGTCTTTAAGCAAGACAACTCTTGTATTTAACTATATGCTTCCATAGCTGAGAAAAGGTGCTATGAAAATAGACAACATTCAATGGAAACCTGTTTCTAACTTTATTTTCTCACTGTGTGTAATTTTGAGTAAGTTAAAAAGACAAGAAGATTGGCAGTCTGCCTCTGACCCTAGGAAGGTTACCTGTGGAGGTTTTATCTGATGGAAATTGTGCTGTCAGATGTAAGGCAGGGTTGAGAACAGAAGAGTGCTGATTACTGGGCTTCTAGACCATGTAGTTTCATTTAAAGGAAATAGCACTGAACACAGTTATGGGGTCAACACCATTTGTTTGTGATGTTTATCTTAGGTTTTATGCACTAGATGTTGCAGCAAGGAGAAAGTAATTCACATGATATAGAAACCAAAAGCAGATGTCTGTCTTCTCCAGCTTCATGTTAGGTTTGATTTCATTTATTTATTTATTTATTTATTTATTTACCTTAAACAAACTCTGTGTCCCATTGATAAAGCAAGATAAAAATATATAATTTCTGGGAAATATGAGGTCATATAGAAAATTTCTTATGGCTATGCTTTATTAAAATGTCTTATGATTCCTATCAGTGGGCTAATCAGATGAATGGCTAAGTCATGTGCTATTCAATAATCTCCTTGTTGAGCAATTTTTTTTCAGCTGCAAGAAGGTGCCTTCAAATGAAAGTCAAAGTCTGATTAGAAACTTAGCAGTGAGGTAAGTGGCAACATACATAATCAGTTTTTTATGCATATTGTATTTCAGTTCTGACAAATGGTATGACACTGATTCCTCCTGCTGTTTCCAGCTGCTTTTGGAGATACCTAGGTTTTTCACTGCACAGAAAAGCCACTGTGTTTGTAAAAGCAGCTTCACGCAGGAGGAGAGACATCACAAATTTCCGTTATGCATCACTTCAGTGAAAGAAAAAGAATGGAGCTGCTGGCTCAATAAAGTGTCTAAACTATTTTTGCAGCTGTCTTTTCCCCCATCAGTTGTGATTAATATATGAACATACTCAGCATAAAGGCATCGTACAACTTTGAATGGAAAAAAGAGGTGGCTTGTAAACCACAGACTTTTTGACATTTGCATAATGGCTTTACTTTTATTTAATTTACATTGCAAAAAAAGTGATCTCTAGTGTCTGCATTGTGCTTGGAGAGCTAAGTATTGTGTTTAAGGATCCAGGAGGACCCTTTTTTCCAAAGATTCTCCCTTATGTGATCAAATACCTGTCTTAATAGATGAGGTTCCTAAAACTGTTTCATTTATCAGAATTACTCATGAAAATAGGCACTGTTGGATGTATTAAAGGTGTCAGAATCTGGCCTTAGGTTTTCAGCAACACAATGTCTCAGACAGTAATTAGGCTAGAAAATAGATCAACCATTAAGTATTCAGTGGTATCTTGCAGGCAACCTTCAACATTAGAATCTGTGTTATTGTAAGAGGGACTGGGGAAGATGGGTTTTGCTTTTCATTGGAAGGGTCAGAAACTTGTGAAACATTTCTTTGATCTGGCCCATCACACTTCACTGTATCCCTTGCAAGGCCACTGGCATCTGGCATCAAATGCCATGAATCTGATCGCCCTTGCCCACTGAGATGGTGCTTTACATTCAGATTCATCAGCCCTAATTTAGGTTCCAAAAAATTAACTGTCCATATCTAAGATTAGAGTCCTTTAGCAGTCAGAGACTGAGAAGAGATATCTAAAGGGCAACTTCTCAGCAAGGACAGAGATTTAAGAGTGGTCACGTAAACTTAATTATGAAGGTATTTAATTTTTACTCCCAACCCAGTGGTGAGCCCAGGGTGAGTTGATCATACTCAGATGGCTCAGTAAAAGATTTCTAATTGTTAAACCAGATGAATCCTACCTCACTTTGAAATGAACCCAGTGGGACCAAGGTGCCAAAGCAAAAAGATTTCCATTAAAGGGAAGGACTGTCTGAATGGCACCTGCCTGCACATCTACCTTAATCTCAGTGGCACTTCTGCAGCAGGGAGAGGTATAATTTAATGGGCTTAAAGCAATCAACATCTGAATCTTCATAGTTTATAAAAAGCACCCACATAAATTTGCCAGCATGACTTGTACAGAAATCTACAATTTCCATTAACCACTATTATCTCTAATAAAGTTACAAAAACTAATGATAAAGTGCTAAAACTCAGATATTTTCCACCATCTAGCCCACAATATCTGAAATATAGTACAAGATAAAAATTGATTAAAACTGCCTAATGCCCAGTTTTACAATAGGTTTTACTCTTGCCACTATCCCTCATCCTACGAGGCAAAAGCTTCTGAGAACCACCATGCTTTACAGAGGGGTTTTAACCAACAGTTAAAGCTGGAAATGGCATAGGAGTTAAATGATTTTTACCTTTCACTTCAAAATAACTCTCAGAATTTTCACCCTTGAGTTCAAATCATTGTCTTTATGGACTAAACTTAAGCTAACCTTGAGATAGTGTTCACCATCCCAGAATGTGGAAAAGCAGGCTGTCAGCAGGATCAGGTCCATGGATCCCACCACAGATGTATACTGAAATAAAACCATCACAGCGAGGGACTTATTCATGTTTGCAGAACAGTAATTTCAAGGTAACTTAACCTAGAAATCACCATGACTATCTTATTTATGCATATGTATTGCAATGCTTAGCAGCCACTAAAATCTTAAATCGTTGAGGATGTGCTGTGCCTGGCATTAGTGAACAGTCTGTTTACTTCTTCTGGAGCATAATAATCTTAAAAACTTTCCAACTGCAGCGACATTTGCCTATAACTGTGCAAAGACTGCTATTTCCGAAGGTTAGGGAAAGGAAATGAAAGTGTTCTTTCACCACTGGTGTTGTATGGATGTCTCCAATGCATTGGATCAGCTGTTTATAAGATGAGATCCAGCCTCGTAAAAGCAAACCAACATATTTTTTTGGTAGCAATGATTAATCCAGCCCATACATACGCAGCAGGAGGGATAATGGTGATGCTGACATGACTGTGAAAAAGTAGCAGGGAAGCAGGAAAGCTCTGAAGTGCTGCTCTCTGCCCTCCACTGCATTTAGGGAGCTGCTCCCTGCAGTAAATCTGCAGCTAAAACTGGTCTTCAGAGATTTCTCAGGGTTGTGCAGACACAAAACACAGACAGTAGCACTGAGAGCAGCCTTGCAAAGTGAAGAGCAAATACACCCAGATCTGCTGTCTGCAATAGTTCATTTCTTCAAAAGCAGTCCCAGCCTGCATCTGTGGGGCCACCCCCACCACAGCAGCTTTGTTCAAACTATGATTAAAAGTTTCCTTTAAAGCTTTCCTTCTAACAATCTGTTAATGAATTTAAAGGACGCTCACACAGAAGCAGCAGCAAAGATAAGGAAATTTGTAAAAGTTGTCTGCTGAGCAAGATTTGAAGAAGTATGACACAGCAGTAGAGGCGATGACACACTTTAACAGGGACATCAACACCAAAACTGAGAATTTGGGACATTCAATGCAATAAAATGGAACTGTTGGGAGAAAATTAAAGACAAGGAGGATGTTACCATGTGCATGTCCTCCCACACACAATACTGAAAATTCAGTCACTTGAAACTTCAGGCGCTTCACTGGATCAGATGTAAATTCGTACATTTTAATGCCAGTGTGCTGTTACAAACATCATCATAAACTGTGAAGTTTTTTCCAGTTATTCCTGTCCAACACCCATAGCTTCAGGAATATATTAACTGCTAAAAAAACCCCAAGTCTTAATGTAATAATATGTGATGCAGAACGTACCTTATCCCTGAACTATCTAGTGCTTAGTTATCCTTATTGTTCAGCATTTGTCTTTCATCTAAATAAATGCTGCTTCAACATTTAGCCATTAGATATTATTATAGTTTTGTTTACCAAATTAAAGAATACAGAAAATATATGTTTCAGAGTTATAAACTACATTTAATTGTGAAATGAGATGGCACCAGATGAACCAAATTTGCTTTTTCTTCTTAAGGGTAAACAAGGGTAAACTGCCACAGCTGGAGTGTGTCACACTTACATACAATCACCATGTATGTAAATCCTGCTAATAATATATAATATAGCTCGATATTTGCTTTATGCAAATACTTTGAGAAAATTATTTCTACAATTTATTACCAGCTGATCCACATGGTGAAGTACAAGGAAGAGTACACATTATGCTTAGTAGTAAGTTCACTAGCTGTATATTGGAGGGCATTTAGAGGATATGACAGTTGAACTGATACGTGATATATATATATACACACACACACACACACACACACACACACATATATACTTATATATTCATATATTGATACATTTGCAGCATTTGCTTCTATTCAAGATGTCCTAAAAGCTGAGCCAACATCCTTCAGCTTGGTTAGAGACCAAAAATTTACTGCTTTACCCCCAAAACTAAACATGACCTGATAACAGAAATTCTACCAAAAGAGAGAGGATGTTCTGAGGCTTGAGATTTTATTTTCTTCCCTCCATCCTCACATATTTCTGTTTTTCATGTGACGATAAATGCCCAGTCACAACCAGGATAAAACACTTCCATTCCCTCCATATTTCCAATTAATTTTACCTCGCTTTCATTTTCAAACAACTTGTTTTCTCACCAGCTAGATGCCTTAGTTGAGATAACTTCTATGATCTGAATTCAGTGTGTTGCTTACAGAACTTATTTTTCTATGTGTAGCCATAGCCATCAACAGCTAAAGCTCCTTAGACAGTAGTCATTAAAATGAGACAGCCACTCCTTTTACTACCGGCCACTGTCTTGACCTTCACAGAGATGCTTTGAATTGAGCAATTCATACGAAATTTAGTACTATGCTGTAATTCTCTCTGTCATGTGTGATAACTCAGAAAGCACGCTAGTCATTCAGTACTACAACTTGGTGTAATTGCTTCTGCAGCCTGACTGAAAGCTACATCATATGATCCGCCAGCACATGATTAGTAGTGTAATAAATCTCTGAAACAAGGCAAGCAAATACGTTTTCTAAGTCCCTGATGCATTCAGAATTTACTATTAAAGGTTTTTTCTCATGCAGCAGAGTTTTGCTGGATATGTATGTGTTTATCGTTATCATCGGTCACTGCTGAGTGGTAAAAAGTAACTTTCCTCATTATTCCAATTTTTAAAAAAGAAAACCGAGCATATATGTATTTAATACCATAAAACCACAAGACTATACTGATGTGCAAAAAAGCTGAGGTTATGCATGTTTTGCATAAAGCAGTGTTGTTGCATAAGTTTTAGTACCTTGGTGCCAAATTCAGAGCTCAGACATGAGGCAGCTAAGTGTAGAAGAAGGGCACTCCCTCCGCCGATAAGAATGTCAAGAATTTTTTCATTTCACTAGTTTACTCGATGCAGTTCCAGACTGGATCACTGAACCCACAGCTCAGGCCACAGACTGGCACAGCCACCTAACAATTGATATAATTCTCACCTCTATTCCTTACTTAACAAATTAACTTAATTTAATTGAGATTTATTTAAAACACCCTCCTTTTTGTTGTAAGCTATTGTGTTATAGCTGTTCTTGGATTCCTACATACACTAAATAAAAAATTATTATTTATACCATGCGAAATATGTCATTGAGATAAACTTTTATTTTGTGGACTGAATAAAAAAATATTAATTCCTAGTAAGGGGGGGGTGTGGGTAAAAAAAGTAGTGGGTTTAACTGGAAGCCAAATATACAAACTCCAAAGCACTGACAGCAACAATGACAAATTCTGTATTTTTTAATTATGTAAGCCAGCAAGGATAGCTGGACTTCTTTATTCTTTTTCTCCTCGTACAGAGTAAATTATCTTTTTTCACTTGATGTTGGAATAAGGACAAGCAAATATGAGTGAAGACATTTTTTACAACCAGGATTATTGCCACATAGAAACACTTCTCTTTCCAAAGCATGTCAGAAGTTGTTTACATTTCATTGGGCCAAAGAAAGGAAGGTAGGGGAGAGAGGAAGGAAAGGAAGAAGGAAGGTATTTTGATAAAGTAACTCAGTGATATGATTTCCTTATTATTTAAACTTTAAAAATAGTTTTAAACGTCTTATTGAATTCCCCATTTCTCCCACCAAATTAAATAGATGTAACAGGAAATTCTTGTTACTCTCCTTCCCACCCCAGAGATCTGCCAGTCTAATGAGGGAAGCTGAGCAGCGGCGGCTGCGAGGGAAGAACTGGGGCATTTGGAGAGAGGTGCCCATGTCCCCACACGTGTCTAAGGGCTTGGGAGAAAAATCAGGGCAGTTTTCACTCTGACACCCTTTGCTGGGGGATCTACTGGCTTTACAGAAACCCGAAAATATCAAGCTGCCCCTAAAGTTTTCTCTCCTCAGTCTCCTCTCCCTCACCTGATAGGCACTGGTAGTTTCCCATTTAAAGATTAGTACAAATTAATTTGAGTCTATATTTTGTATTGGTTCTGGATGAGTTACAGGGCAAAGGGTTCTCCTCTGTACTCACCCGCAATATCCCAGAGCTGCAGCCGTACCACAGTCTCAGCATCCCAGCTCAGCACCTTCAAGGCAAAGTCCACCCCGATGGTGGCCCTGTAGTGAGGGGAGAAGTTCTGGTGGACATAACGTTTGATGATGCTGGTTTTGCCCACTCCCAGGTCCCCGATCACCAGCAGCTTGTAGAGGTGCTCCTTCTGATTGTGCTTCTGCATCTTTCCTGTGGCTGTGGCTGCTCCCTGCAAACTGATTGCATGCTCTGCACGAGGAATCCGGCAAGCCCGAGGGGGAGAGAGGGAGTCAGGAACCGGGGAGGGAAGG